GAGGAACTCCATGACTAACTTTGGTGTATGAAGAAGATTCATTATTTACATTTACAAACTGGAATCTATCAGATAAGTATAATTTAAACCAATTTAGAACAGTTCCTGTAATCTTAAAATTATATTCAAGCCCCTGTAGTAGAATATTGTGATCAACTGTGTCAAATGCAGCACTGAGGTCTAACAGGACCAGTATAGACACCTGGCTATTGTCAGAGGCCGTGAGAAGCTCATTAAAAACTTTCACCAGTGCTGTTTCTGTGCTGTGGTGAGCTCTAAACCCTGACAGAAACTCTTCAAACAGATTATTTTTGGCCAGATGTCCACACAACTGATTTGCAACTGAAAGGTAAGATTAAATCATCCATCCATCCATCCATCCATCCATTATCTTTTACCCGCTTCTTCCATTTTGGGTCATGGGGGCCAAGATAAATCAACAAATATTAAAATAAGTCAAGATTTTTTAAATGCTCTTAAATAACTTATGCATCAAATTCTTACCATGCAAATTATATCAAATCATTTTTCCAATAAAAAAAAAAATCCGTCCTCCTTCAGTTAAGAAGTCAAACTTCTGACAATATCTGATGTAACATTTTCTAATTAAAAGCCTTTTCTCCTTTTCCTAAAGCTAAAAGAAAATCTTACTTTTACAAGATAAACAAAGAAGTTCTGTTTTGTTTGGTCTCACCTGCACTTTAAGAACGAGCTCTGAGTTCTGTGACATTAGTTCCTCTATTTGCTTACGCAGCTCAGCAACTGTTCCCGGGTCTGCAAGACCAGGTGAGGGGCTGGCCGAGTCCGTGTCTGCTTGGGAAGTGGCCTCGTCCTGAGCAGGGGATGCTCTGGAGCGCTTAGAGAGCAGTTTCTCTAGAGGAAACAAGGAACAGAGACCACAGCAAAGCTACGTCACTGCTGAGGTTGAGACAGGAATGTCATAAAGGAACAGCAGGGACAGACATGGAAGTGTGTGGTCAGTGAAAGGACTGCGTACCTGGAAAATCCAGCATTTCATCCATGTCCTCAGAGTCACTGGCCCCAACGACATGGCTCCTCTTAAGCTCTTCGAGCAACTTGTCCCTCTCTGCCTCGGCTTCTGCCAGGCGCTGCTTTAAGTGGGACAGCTGTTGCACACAATGTAAACAGTGATTGTAACTTTTCTTTAGAAACACAGTATTTTGTCAGCTCACTTAAAGCAGAGACGTGAATTATGAGAAATAAATGCAATATTTTAAGAGGGTCTGTACCTCCTCCAACGCAGAGAGGGCGCTTTGTTGCTGCTGCTCCAAGGCTTTGATCTTCTGAAGGAGGCGGCCTCTCTCAAGGCGCAGCCGTCGGATCTCCTCAAACACCTCCTCGTCCTCTGCCTAAAATCCAGACCACCGCAAAAATCTAACTCAGACTGCATTTTATGTGACATGAAAAGGAAAAATGTGGATTTACACCAGTAACCTGAACTGGTTGCTGGCTTTCTTGTGGCAGGGGGGAGGGAGACTTGGACTTTGAGGGCACAGGAGACTGGGCAGGGGGAGCTGGAGCTGCAGACTGAGCAGAAGGTTGCAAATCCTGGATCTTTATGATTAAAAAAAAGAGGAAAAATCATGTCATTGTCACAGAAGCAATGTGAAGGAGATAACTACATACAATTAACACAAAAATATGGATGAGAACGTGGCTTAATGTTTTTCTTTCATTGATTTTTTAAATTTACTATTCACAGTTTAAGTAAAAGGTCATAGTTTGCTGGTTACCGTATTTTTTTTGGACTATAAGGCGCATTAAGCGGAAAAAAATCAGTCAGATAAGTCAAACTTTATTCAACTCATTCAGAATAACTCTCAAAATTGTTCAGTTGTACCACGTAAAATCAGTTTGAGGTCAGTAAGCACAACCAGAATTAATACATAAAGCACACCAAAATTAAAATGAAAATTAAAGGATTTTAAGTGCGCCTTATAGTTCGAAAAATACGGTATGCTGTAAGGCTGTCCATGTGTTGAATCAAATCGCCTCCATCCACTGCAGGGATTTTCACAGTACCTGGAGTGGAGCGCGTGGCGGTGGAGGGGCTTTCCGCTTACGGAGGGTAGTCCCCCCTTCCACTGATGAGGCGCCGGAGGGGATTTGAATGGGCTGCGTGGGGGTGAGAGGGAGATCACTGACAAGCAAGGTTCAAGCGCAACTTAAATAGAAAAAAATGGAGGAAACTGAGATAAGAGGTCAGCAACAAAGAGAAGAGAAAGCCAAGAAAATGAAAGCAGCACACGAAAACCTCGAGCTCACATTGGAAAGCATGCACTATATGATGAGTCATGATCTCACTGATGGAGGGAGCGACGCAACAAACTGCTACGCAATGTTACCTCTTCACCTGTGCCCTCAGGAGCTTTGTGGGCGGGGGAGAGGCGGAGACACAGCAAAAATATTAAACTTCTTTAAGTATGTACACCAGATTACACACACAGATGTAGATACAGGCTCCATGTGATCATCTGTCAACATGCTCGTCTTCAGGCCAACAGCACATCTGTTGTACGTTCATCGGCAAAGTCTTTGTTGGGATAGAAAAGTGAAACGAGCCTCTTGTGTCGTTGTTTCTTTTTAAACCTCACTTTACAATCACACCCAGCTGTCCCCCTGAATCACTTCCTCCTAATAAAACCACTTCCTGGGGGCGGGGAGCATGCTGCACACAGCTGCAATGAAAAGCTCCACATCAGAGCCGTTTGCTGCTTCCTGTGAAACATATGTCTTTAAGAGTTGCTTCGTTGATTCATTCACAAAACTAACTAGAAATCATTCATAACAACTGGATGTTATATCAAGTGAACTGGTTAGAGAAGCCTTATGTGATCACTGAGCAAAGACATGTAAGCTAAGACAAGTACCTGGAGGTACTCCGTCCTGTAACATCTGGATGATGCGTTGGTTGCCTGTGGTTAGGCTGTAGTCAACAGCTTTGTGCCCGAGGGAGTCAACCAGCTGTGTGTTGGCCCCCCGTCTCAGGAAAGCCTCAACAGTCTCAATGCTGTCACTCTCACAGGCCAGCATCAGAGCAGACCTGTCATTCCAGATACAGTGGTAAAAAACATCACTGATGATAGAAAAACTAAAGCAAGTTATTCAAGCATAACCGTGTTCATCACATCACAAGGCATACTACACAATATTAGGGTAATGTTTCAGATTGCATTGTTGGTTTATACTATCTGAAGGAAAAAGGTCATAACTGATTTGCTGATGCAGCAAAATGAAGTTTTATCTTTATTTTTGTTGTGCAGAAGACAAATCTCATTATTCCCTCCAGGCTGCTGTCTAGAGACAAACTGAAAACTGGAGATCCCTCCAAATCTCTCCCAGACCCTTACAATTGCTTTTTTAAGGGAGTCCTTCTGCACATTGAACTGAACTGAAAGAATACTGTAATCATACTTACCTTTGTATTTATATATCTATCTTTTGAATAAAGTCATCCTGGTTGGACGATTCCTACTTATTTATTTTACTGTGAAAGTCCCTCCAGCATCTAATGAGACGGACTGGTAATTCTCCGTACAGTTCAGTACCTGCCTTGGTTGTCCTGTATGTTTGCATTGGCACCTCGACGCAACAGAAAGACGCACAGCTCCACCATGCTCATCTGTGCCGCTAAGATCAGCGGAGTGACCCCCTCCTGAAAAAATAACAACACATTATCTAAACATTGTAAAGCAACGTCAGCTCATGTGTGGATCACTCCTCAGTAAAACCCATACATCCATTATCTACATCTGCTTTTCCTTTCGTGTCAATGGTGCCCATAGCCAGCTATCACTGTGCGAGAGGCAGGGGACACTCTGGTTAGGTCTCCAGTCTCCAGTCCATCACAGGGACACATGAGACAAATGAGACAAACAATCCTTCACTCTCACTCACACCTAGGGACAGTTACTTAACAGTCAGTCTAACTTGCATGTTTTTGGTCTGTGGGAGGAAACCGGAGTGCCCGGAGAAAACCCACGCATGCACGGAGAGAACATGCAAACTCCACCCTGAAAGGTCCCCAGCCGGGATTTGAACCAGAGACCTTCTCACTGAGAGGCTACAGCTCTACCAATCGCGCCACCGTGCCGCCCCTCACTAAAACCAGAAGAACTAAACATCTTCTGATCTTCTCACCAAACCTACACTGTCCTGGATGTCCAGGTTGGCTTTGAAGTCCCACAAGGTCTCCGTGCACAACAAGCAGCCACTGATCGCTGTAAGATAAAACCAGAACCACAATTACAAAGATTTACATCCCGCATACCATCTGCTTTATCCACTGTCCATTCGAAGTGCATTTCTTAACACTACTTTTGGTATATTAAAGTACTATTGATGGTAAAATATACTGACTGGAACTGAAGAGAGGAATTTGACTTGTGCAGATCATCAAGTTCTATAATCATTACCTGCATGATGAAGTGGAGTCCTGCCAATTCTGTCTGTACAATCTACTGCCAACCTTTCCTGTTAGAGAGGCAACACCCACATATTACATTTATCTTGCTGCAGTCATGATTGTTATAGCACATTGTTGTCTCTATTTATTTACCTGCAACAGTCTCCTTAAACACTCTGACTGGCCATTTTTGGCAGCAAGGTGAAGAGCGCTGAGGCCTGAAGTCATTCACAAAAACAAAGCATGACACATGCTGTTTTTGGCTTACAGGATTGTTTTTTTAATAATTAAATGTTATACCGGCCCCATCAGTGACACTGAGGTCTGCGCCGTGAACGATGATCACCTCCAGGCAATCTAAGCGGCCTTTGGATGCACAGAGGTGGAAACTAGAAGATGAAACAAAGTTAAGTTGATACAAAGAAAGTGGACTGATAATTACAAGTCTGCTTTAAATGTTTCAACTTCAAAATTAATTTGTCACGTTATTCTTAAATCAAGAGAAAAATATTGATTTTTTTAACGATACGCTTAGATTGTTTTCTCATCTTTTAGAGTCTAGAGCAGGAGTGCCCAAAGTGGGGTCCGCGGGCCAAAGTGGGGCCCCAAGCCAGTTTCAGTTGGCCCGCCAAGCTGTCCTCATATATTAAAATTTCCTTTGAACAATCATTGTGCTTACACTCATTGATTCCACCCATTGACTTTATTGTTAGTCGGCCTGACTACCTTAATTCAACACGGATTACACAGTACAGAAGATAATTTATGTATATTTTTTTAAATAATTTTAATTTATATTTTTATATTTCATTTTGACAGACTTTCTACCATCCCTTGGCAGTTTCTTGCCACTGAATAACATTTTCCTTTGACAGAACACACTTGTAAATCACAAAGTGTTTAAAAGTAAATTGTAAATATGAACAGGTTTCGGTGGTGATTTGAGCCTCTTTAACTTTAAACTCAGCCACTGAAAAATAAAGAAATCATTAGGTTCATGTAAGGAAACAGTTCTCAAACCTTAGATCCACCAAAATATTGAATAAATATGGAATAAATGACGACAGTCTCAAACGGACCAAAAAAATCGATTATTTTTTGCACAAGTCACGCCACCTGTCAATCAATCCAGTAGGCGCGTCAGCAAATAACCAATCATCGACCTCGATTTGTCCTGAAGTGAACACCTCTTACCTGCAGAGCTGCATTACAAACACTTTGCAGTCAGAGAGATTTCAAGAATAACAGAGTTTACATCTTTTGTTTCATGTAAATGTTTGTAAAATACACCAGAATGCGGGAAATGGCATCTACTTTAATCAAAATTCCCTGGGGGAGGATCCCCAGACACCCCCACCACCACCAACATAGCCTGTTCTGTGATGTTCTTTATACAGAATTGAAGGTTAAATAACTGTATAATAAATAAATGGACTTTAAAGAAGTATTTGCATTTCATGTATTATTGCATTTGGCCTGCAGCCCTCTGATAGATTTTAAATTTGGCCCTTTCAGGGAAAAAGTTTGGGCACCCCTGGTCTAGAGTATCTATCCATGTATTTATCTGTCAAATATGAAATATGTTTAAAAACAGTAAAGTCAAAATGGCTGCAGCGTTACCCGAGGATCAAGGTCTGTATCAGAGTATCTAGATCTGAGCAAGCTCAATTGGTATTTTAAGCACCTTACAAGATAACAGACAGGATTCCTCTAAATACAGATAAAATGTGTCCTGTATTCAAAGAACGTCTCACTGAGAATAGTCTTTTTCTGAAATTGTATTGGTGATTAAAGCAAACAATATGGAGCTGGCATGCAGACAGACTGCTATTATAATATTGTGGTTTTAAAAACAACGAGTGGTTTGTGCTAAATAAATCAACAAGACATTTTTTTGTATTATACTGCATGTGCAGTGACCATTTTGACTAAGAGGACTAGTGTCAGTCTGTAGATGGCAGAAAGAAACTTGCTTGTTTTTTTTTAAAATAACTTACATCAAAGCTGTAATCAGGTGTGCTTTCACAAGAGCTTTGCAGAATTTCCATCTGTAATTTAACAGGTATAGTGTCTAACTGTAAGACCTAACATTCAGTAGTGCATTTATTAAAAGAGAATAAGGTGCACAATAAATGATCCTATTAAGATTTGACGTCTTCTGTTTCAAACACTTATCTTCATATAATCAACTATGTTGTGCTGTTTACCTGTCTGGTCTCTTGCTACTAATGAAATCTTGAAACCCACAGCTAGCCTCTACAATAGGGCCTACGAAATTCATAACAAACTTCCCGGCTGGACTCATCACTGTACAGCTCTTTCTTCTTCAAAATGCTCTAACTTGTCAAAATGATGTTCTACACAGCAGTATTAAATTGTTTTTTTCGGGTATTTCATGGTGTCAGTAATGTAGCTCTTTCTACTTTAATGCCTAAAACCAATTATGGACATGGCCACTCGACTAGGTCAGCTACAAGTGGACACTTGCCACTACCAGCCTTTAAAAACTGTTATGGCCAGAGATCATTTGTCTATGTTTATACTAATTAATGGACCGACATTCCACAGCATATAAAGTCCATCTCAACGATGGCACTTTTTAAGAAGACTCTGTTGGACGCCTTCTTTTGCAATCACTGTTATAAATGCTACAATTCTTGTGTTTTGTAATGTTGTATGTCTGTGTGTGTGCATTAATGTGATGTGATGCTGGATATCTGTGTTCTGTTGTGTTCTGCAGAACAGGAACCTGCTGCAAAACAGCAATTATGCTGAGCCAGGCTCAATTTCTTTTAATGTTTTCCCGTTTAAAACTTAAATAAATACATAAATAAGACACACAGCGCAACTTTAATTCTTTGAACTGAAAGGAACGATTACTTTGCAAACTAAATAATTGCCTACAAGAACAAACTAATTTCGAGTTTTACAAAATGGACTCACGCTGACTTGCCCTCAGCATCCAGCTTGGTGGGACAGAGACCTTTTTTCACAATAAGTGCAGAAACTTTGTCGGGTTCGTTCTGTTCCACAGCCTGCAGGAGCCTTTCGTCACTCTTGCTCCAGTCCTGACTCTGAGGGAGCAAAGCCAAAGAACGAGACGCTGCTGTCTTAATGAAAACAGGAAACATACTGCAGAAGGATAAATAACTGCTTCAGACGACCAGTTCACCAATGTTCATACAAAATATGTGCAACTTTACATATTACACAAAGCAAATTTTAATTCAGAACCGACAGAAACAATGCTAAAAAGCCCAACGGGATTTATTGTTTTTATAAGGTTTATCTAAGCAGAGACAGAGGATACCTACTGGCAGCGGTAGAAGACTGAGACAAGGACAGAACCGCTTCATCAGGCTGAAAACGGGCTGCTGAGGATCCATGCTAGCAGGGCATCAAACAACTAAATGCTGACAGAGTGTGCAAAAACCACCACTGCGTGTCCGACCTGACACTAAAGCCACACAACATTTGAGCTCATTTAAAGAAGATCGAAGCCTCGTGACTGTCAGGAAGATAACCTTTCAGAGGTCAGACGAATACCAGAGAAATCAAGCCTACAACTAAAATCACTCACCGCACATACAACTGTGACACACATGAGAGCAGTTATGTCCTTATGCACTATTCTCTGTCCACTTTCATATTAGCATCCTGTCGCCCTGCTCCAGCTGCGTGCTGTGACACAGCCAGTCTATCCACCACAGCTCCTCTCCCTCCTCCCTTCTCCCTGGCCTCATTTTTTTTAACCTAATAAGTTCCCTGCTGTGGCAGAGCTACCTTCTTCTCTCCATTAGTTTTTGTCAAGTCCTGCACAGAACTCCCCCCCACCACCACCATCCCTGCAGCACTGTAGATGTGTTTCTCTGCAGCCCCAGAATGAGGAGTCAGCAAACAGAAGCTGGGCATGCTGCAAGCTGCCATGCTGGTTTTGGATGGCAAAGGGGAACATGCTGAGGTACCAACTGTCTGTCAATAAATGCAGCCACCAAAGCAAATCCTTCTTGTTGCCAGATATAATCAGTAATTAGATCAAAATGTCCAGACCGTATAGCATAAACCACACAAATCGTTTGGAGGAAACTTCCTTAAAGTTGCAGCACAGCATTTATCATCTTGTATAAGTGTCTAGAAACAGCATGGCCCACAGCCTTTTCTCTTTCTTTAATTTATGGTTTACATTCAAAGCAGCCCCTAAGAGTAGTGAAAAGATGACAGAGGGGTAGTAGGCTCTCTTTGTGTGTCAGAGTCAGCGTATGCATGTGAATAATTGAAGGCTACCTGAGCTTGATGGTTATAGCAGCAGGCTGGAGACAGAACTGCTCTCCTGCTGTTTAGTGACACTGATCCCCCACCCCCCACCCCACCACCCCACCCATCCAACCCAACTCATACAACTGCAGAAAGCAAACTAGGACATTGTGCAAGTGATTACTTTAGGATGAAACAAAACTGGCCTGTATGCAAAGTACAGCAGATGTACTCCTCGAAAATACCACCATAAATTAGAAACGTTCACATGCTCCACAACAGATTACCTCATTCTTTTTAAACTTTGCTTTCAGACTCTTCATAGTGGCTGATTGCTGCGGGAGGAAAAAAGTGAAAAACAAAATTATTTAGCCAGAAATGTACATATCACTCAGTGGATCTGTTGAAATGATCAGTTTCATCAAATCCTCTAAACTTATTCTTTAATGCCTAAATGGTCACTCTCCCAAGGCGCCCAGTAATCCTGTAGTCAGAGTCACTGGTTCAGTAATGCATGGAGCATCCAGTGGGAACTGTAAAGTGCCTTTACATAAATCCTCTCTGGGACAAATAGCTTTTCTCTTCCAGTGGATTAACCTGTGGAATCCCTTGCAGATTTCACCGTGCATTATGTTATTATTCATTTATTTTGCTTGATTGCCTGAACTTTATGTGTTGTGGTTTACTGTATTTTGTACTTGCATCTTAAGTTGTACTTTTTAAGTAACTAAAAGACACATTTAGGCTAAAAGGCTAATTGTCATAGGCTAAACGTGCAGTAAATTAATAAACAGTGTAAACAACATGAGGCCACTGACATTTCTAATCCATTACCAACCAGGACTAACTAATAAGCAACAATACAGTCTGTGTGGTAACAATATAGCTACACCATCCTTAGAAAAACGTGGACCCTACCTATGGAGACCTGTCCAGATCCAGGCAGGTGCTGTTTCTGTCCCATGAGCTCCTGCTCGCAGTAAAATACTAAAGTCACTGCTTTCTGATGGGTATTGACACAGCTCCCGCCTCAAGCCAAAATCAACCAATCAGAAGAGGGCATAACTCCGGACCAACGTTTGATTGGCTGATGATGGATGAGCTAACTGTCGCGTGCGTTTTAGGATGCGCTAATGCTAATGACTATGTCGTTATTTTAAAACAACTGAACAAGTACAAAACAGGATCACGTAAATTTTGTTTTCAGATTCAAAAGAATCTCACGTTTCAACTCGTACAGAGATGGGGAAGCCCCGTTTGAACATTTTTGGGCAGTCGATAAAACGTAACAGGGAGTCCCACCAATGGCGACACTGGAGCAGCTGAACCCGGAAGTGCACATCAGGAAAAACGTGAGTCTAGTGGAGAAAACCAAAACAACTTTAAACTCTTAAACTAGTAGTGCTGTTATCACATAGCAGATCATTTCAGTGGTTTAAAGTAAAATTTTTAGGATACTTTTATATTGCTTAGATTTAATTAGCATCTTTTCAGGCTTCAGTTTGTTGGGACCAGATTAACATCCCAGATGTCTGAGTACTGTGATAAAAACCTCAAACAAATAGAGATTTATGCCCCTTTAATTTAAAACTTAAAAAAAAAAAAAAAAAATCAACGTCTAAAAGAATCTTAGATGAAAGGAATATACAATTGTTTTAACAGCTACAACATGATCATTTTAGCACTGATATTACTTCTACAGTGGTGTCTTATGATGTCATCAATCATTGGAAGCAAAAACTATTTTAGTGGTATTAATAAAAAAAAATAGTAGTATTACATCTTGCTGCTTACTGCTAGTAGGTTTTCCCCACCAAAACAGGGCTTTATATCTGTTTTGCCTCCCTTGTTTATCTCCTATTCATACCACCATTCATACCACCATGTGAAATATGTTTGTGTGTGTATATAAATATATATATATACATATACATATACATATATACATACTCGGTGTCCAGTGACAATGTGACTGTGTCTTCAGACTCTCAGTCTTGTGTGTACTGAAATAAGAATATTGTTCTTGTTTCTCGTGGTCAAGAGATTACTGGTTAATTTCTGGAGTCACGAGTAACTGATTGTGCCCATTATCATTAGCAGATTATTTGAACACAGAACTGCCACAAATTCAGTTCAGGTTAAATAGTGCTGGTTCTCAACAAGAGTCATCTCAAAACCAGTTCATATCCAGTTTAATGCAGGACAATTATGTACAATCTAAATTCACTCAGTTAATCACAGCATATCCAGCTGCAAACAATGTTTGAGAAGGAACCAAACAAATTAAAACAAATTCACTGGCTTAAAGGGGGAAAATACACCTGATCAAGAAGTGAGCCTCATCAAAAGAGAATTAAAAGCAACAAGCATTGTGCCTCTTGCCAGTGAGGCCTTGTGCAGTACACACAAGCCACCAAATGAGGGCAGTCAATACAAAGCATATGAAACTACAGAAATCTATTATTTCTACATTCTGTTTGTCTGCATTTTGAATTTCCAGGGTATTCTATTTAGATTAAACCTTTGGCTTTCAAAGATGTCCTTTGCCTATGTGTGCCCATAAGCACATAAATGTCTAGATCCACTAAGACACTGGAAATGAAATGTTTCCTAATTTCACAAATGTAGTTGTCCTCAGCGTTCCCATTTGTTGCCTCTTCTTTTAATTTCACTCTCCAATTCCATAAAATTCTGACTGTCGCCCCCGATGGGATAGAAACATAAATTAAATGCAAACAGAAAGTTACTCTCCTATGTAAGAGGTGGGTTCACAGGGTGGTGTTGGACTGAGCAGAAGATGAAAAAGAGGAAATGTTTGACTGAAAGAAAGAAGGAAGGAGATTAATAAAAGATGTGCTGCTACATTCAAACAAAGCAACATGTCAACGTGAAACATTATGACAGAAAGGGCTGGCATGGTATTTGTTGGCAAATTGAGGAGAAGTAGCATCTTTTAAAAAAATGTATTTATTTTGGATGTGATGTGAGAATAACAACGTATTTGATGAGAACAAAAATGGTTTTGTCCATCACAAAGGTTTATTTTAACCTAAAGATTTCAAAGGGACAGAGGAATAAGGAATTGCCGCAGAGAAGCAACATGTCTAAAAGTCAAGAGATTTATATCTGGGCAGCCTTTTCAAAGAGAACATCTTGATTTGCTCATGTTCTGATGTTCATACTTTTGTTCCTTTTAGATTTACCACAAAAGCTGGACCTCAAAGCTACAGTCTTTTCACTTCCTGGGCATTTCCTCCAGAAACACCTTTGCACTATAGTTTTGATCTCCTTTAGATCCGAATGGAACCAGGGCTTGGTGAATGTATAGAGCAGGCAGGAGGGAGAACATGTAAAGATCTGGATATCACATTGGTGGTTATGATGAGGATGGTGATGAGATTCTAGCTAGATGACCTCATCCAGTTACCCATCCCCTGGGAGAAAGTGAGCTCACAAGAGTCATAAAGAGGAAAAACGGGGGCATTTACGATCTTTTAACAGACTTAGATGGGCCTTACAGTGTAGCATACAATCCAATTTTCCAGGCTGGACAGAGGGTAATGTGACATCTGTGAGAGGATGACGGGCACTCTGAGCGGTCAGAGAGGGATCAAACCACCCAGATAGTCTCTTTTCTTTCAAATCAGATACAGGTCTGTGTTTGCAGCTTGTTGAATGATTGGATGTCCCTATATTCTATAAGCTCTTTCAGGATTTACCTTGAAGGCTAAGATCATTAAAAATGACAATGACTGGAGCTAAAATAAGAAGAAGCTCTACTGTGATGTCATGCAAATAAATTATGTAGGTTCATCTCTGAAGCATGGTCCTGCAAGCAGACTTCTCCACTTGTGCCTTTTGTGTGTGTTTTATGGAAGAGGTTTGTGTTTCTTGTTGCATCCTGTTAGATGTGCAGACATGTGAATGGATGAACGCTCGGCTGATTGCGAAAGGGAACAGGAGGCTATTCCTCTGGGGAAATGAAGCACCTCCCCTATAATCGCTCGGCTGAGTTGTGTTTTCTCTCCGAGCTGTTGTCGCTCTCCTCACTGGCACATTTTCACTCCACTGTTAAGAGGAGGAGGATCTCCTGTGCGCTCATGTTCTGCTCCAAGAGAAATAAAGATTTTTTTCTGTATTTTTTTATCCTATTGAGGATTAAAGAGCTTTACAAGGACACCCACAATACAATATAGGATTTACCCACTTCTCTTTATCAGCAGCAGCATGAAGAAACGTGGAGTTTTATGGGAAAAGTGACTGGAGCACTTGGTTTGGTGAGTGGTTTTGCGCGTTCTGAGCGCAGTAGGCTATAAAATAAAGAGCTTCTTTAAGTATGTATATTTAAAGCTAAAATTGCCTTCAGTTATTATTATTATTTTTAATAAAATTTAAATTAAAGTTGAGAATGTTGATCCCACGTGACTTTTCCATTCTCTAGTCTTTGTATTTGCTCTGATATCCCGAGCTAACGCTGGACTTTTGTTGCAGGGCTGTGAATTGTAATGGGAGCCTTTGGGCAAAGTCCAGTTGCCAGACTTTATTGCTGTGTGACTGAAACAAAAGGAGTGGGTAAAACCCAGCTGTCTCTGCTGGTTAATGTTACATGGGAGCGTGCAGAAGTTCACGCACTGAGAGTGTGTGTGTGATCAGAAAAATAAAATAGTCCTGCCCACATGTCATGATAAAAATTATTTAAAAAAAAGACCTGTGGATTATTGTTGTTGTTTTGTGCTTGAAAACATTTATTTTTAATCATTTGTCTCTCAAATCCAGTCCAAATCTCTTGCAGTTTCATTAGAAATAGAGTCAAGTAATAACCATATGTGTCCCTGTTTGCCCCCCCTGCAGCCTCTCTTCACCACACAGCATCAGGAGCTGCTCGAAGCTGAACTGCGATGGCCAAGTGGCTCAAGGACTACCTGAGCTTTGGCAGGAAGGTTCCCCCTCAGCCTCCCACACCAGACTACACAGAGAGCGAGATCCTCAAAGCGTACCGGCTCCAGAGAGACCTGGATTTTGAAGATCCCTACGAGGACGTGGACAGTAGATCCAGAGGGGATTCAGTGTCTTTTGACCCAGCCACACCAGTTTACAGTTCTCCCATGAAGTCATCCAGCGTGGACATGAAGTCTCCTATACACAGACTGATCAAAGTGGACTCCCAGGAACTGGGGCGCACCAAGATTCTCCTCAGCACCGTCTCTTTGGAAGACCAAAAAGAGCCTGTAAGAGCTATTTCTTTATAGGTGCATGGAGAACAAAGGAGATATCAAATGAGATGTCTCTCTTATTCGGTGGAGTAGGTTGGAGTGATAAGGAGAAACCAACCACAGGGAATCGAATACCCTCGCTTCTCTAATCTCATTTCCATCTCTGTGACAGGTTTATTGATGAAACTCTATTAGCAGCTGACCAGTAATGTGTGTCAGAAAATGTGTACAGTTTACACAAATCACATAACGTCCCACACCACATAAATTTATAGGAGGAGTGGGGGAGAAAATGGATGGCTTGAGCAGACCGTTGAGTTGGACACAGTCTCTTGGGTTTATGTCCATCTATAAATAATAAATGGGGTTTGGTTTTGCAAGCTGAGAGAGGGACCCTCACATGGGCACATGTTGGAGGGTCCCATTCATTTTCCCCCATGGTATGTCACAAGGCGGTGTAATTTATACTGTTGGTGCTGTTTATAGTGCTTTTCTACCTCAGCGCTCCCCTTTGTGCAGTCAACAAACCCATAGCAACCTAGTATGGCAGAAGAAGCAGAAGCAAAGACTTTACAAGGACGTCATCTACATTTTAGCTCAGCTCGGACAAGCTGATTAAGTTTGGGAGAATCTTGGGATTGTCTTTATAGCAGCTGAATCCATAAATCTACTGCACCAATGTATAAAAGTCTCAAAGTGGATTGAAGTCATAGCCTTAACTCAAGTCGATAACTCCCCTCTCTGCCCTGCTTTCCTTTAGCGCTCATTAATTTCCCATGGTGTGTGGGAACTTTCTAATTAACATGATTCCCATGCATCAATATAACCTGTTAGAGAATCAGCAAGAGATTTAGGATGTTGTTTTGCATTGGCTTGAGAGTGTTCAGCAGGCTGTTTAGGAAGAGGGCCTTTCTTCAGTGACTCTTTGTGAGGGCGGGGTGGAGACAAAAGGATATACATGTTTCTAGACATGCGTGTGTTTGTGGACCATATGGTTGCCTTTTTGGCTGACGCTGTGCCAGATGACCACTGTTTTCCACCTGCGCTTGCATGGAGAAACAAATGTTCCCCACTAGATATCTCCCTCTTTTTATCTCTGTCCACACCTCCTGAATTAAAAAAGAGCAACTGTCAGTCAGGGTGGATTCTCTGCAGATTGCTTTGACAAAGAGCAGTGACTAAAAACTGCACACACATTTATTGGTGTAATATTCTTTATTTTTAAATCTGCGAACAAATGTTTATTTGTGTAATATTCTTTATTTTTTGGCTTTAACTTGCAGACTAAGCTGGATTACCTTTAAGTAATTATTGAAATTCTTGTTCATTTTGCATCTGCAAGAACAAAAGACATTTAAAACTGTATTTTTTTTACAATCAGCTTTTTTTCTACTATGGCTTAAGTTGGCTCTCTGATTAAAAATGTGCTTGCCTCATGAGTAGATCTGTGTTTCTGTCCTTCAGGTGGTGCCGTCAGCCCCACTGGCAGGGGACACAGATTATTCAGACCCGTTTGACGCTCGGTTAGACCACCGAGCAGATCCAGATCTCGGACCTGTTCCCTGTGAGAATAATGGCTACATGGAGCCATATGAAGCCCAAAGGGTCATATCAGGTCAGTGGACTTATATGAGATGAGATGCAGAACTTTGCTAGATTTTTATTGATGTTTTTTTTTTTTCTGTATTTTTGCACCACTTTACTGGATTTGCGATGTGGCTTTAGGTACAATATTTAGACTTTGATCAGATTTATCAATGCAACAAAACTAATCTTTGCAAATGGCTGAACCATCTTGTGGATCTGCATTTAACAAACTCAACCACTGAAAGTAATGAAGAAGGGAATCATTTAAAATGATTTTCATGATAGGGCATGTCTTTGCATGAGCATGAATGACTAGAGTAGTAGTGTCAATCATTTTCACATCCTTAGAGCCAGAACTGTGTACACAACACTTGAATTTTTTTTTACAGCCACTAAAACAGACAGAGGATTGTAATGAAATATTGGCAGATTCTGACACGTTTATTGGATCAGAATTGCTCACTAAATTTTTTTATGACTTCATCTCATCAGTCATTCATTTCATACACCCTTATTAAAAGTTATTGGAAAATGTACATGGATCGTACTTATATGGAGCATTTCTATCTAATCAAGATATTCAAAGTGCTTTACAACCAGGGGTGAAAGTAACAAATAACAAATACTCACATTACTGTAATTAAGTAGATTGTTTTGGGTACTTGTACTTTTATGAGTATTTCTTTCAAGTGTGTAATTTTACTAATATTTAAGTACAATTTAGACCATGTAATCTACTCCACTACTTTTAAAATCAGAAGTTGTTAATTTGAATTAATTTTCAAACCGTTCATCTGTATCTTTGTAGCCAATAAGGCTCTCAGATTGCGAATGCGCCAATTACCCATGACGTAAGCAAAGGACAACTCCATGGAGTAGAGAGTCATTTATGAACTGAAGATTTGGAGAAAAAGCCCAAATGGAGACAGAGGACAACACTGTTAACAGAGAAAATGAGGAGGTAAAGGCTGAGGACGAGTGCCCATGGCCGTACCTGGAGGCATTTTTCATGTACAGAGGGTGAAAAGGAGACAGAGTCCAGATGTAAACTTTGTTTGATCTCTACAGTGACAGCAGCTTACAAGACTTCAGCATCTAATCTCAAAAACATATTGCGGTATACAATGTTTTACAACTACCTGTATGATATTGCTGTTTTATTGTTTGCATGTGTGGGTTATTAGTTTGGCTAAGTATGCAAAGATCTTAGATACTGTCACTGCCATCGGTTTGTCTGGTTCTAAAATAAGACGGAGCTTCTGAGCGTCTGAGAAATGATCTTTGAATGTAGCTGTTATATACAATAAATCAAACTGAATGACTTCTATTGACAACACAATAAAACATCAATTTGTTAAAAAGTCATTAATACTCTGAGTAGTTTTTGAGAAGAGTACTTTGTACTTTTACTTAAGTATTTTTATAACACCAGTACTTTTACTTGTAATTGAGTACAATTTAAGCAATGTAGCAGTACTTGTACTTGAGTAAAAATTTCCAGTACTCTTTCCACCTCTGTTTCCAACACAATCTGTGCCCTCATTTATCTCCACACACACTTTCATACAGCATTACTACATAAAGATAATCTGAATCTGAGACCAATCAGTGCTTTATCACATTCATACACCGATGGGACACACATCAGAGGCAATGAGGGGTTCAGTGTCTTGCCCAGGGACACTTCGGCATGTGACTGTTGGTGGAATCGAACCCCCAACTCTCCCATCGAAGGACGACTGCTCTAACCACTCAGCCACAGCTGCCCCAAACATCTCAATAACATTAGGATTAAGTGGGTAGACTAGGTGAGATTAAGTGGATGGAGTTGATTTCAAACCTCTTACTTGGAAGTCAGGTATTTTATTGATCTGAGACACTGAATCATGAATAAAATATAGATCTGTGTTATGAAGTAATGTAACTGGTCACTGCTGTGTCAGCAGTTCCTTTGACGAGCAACAGAAAATAACTTGACATTTCTGTAATTTGCTCCGTCTTCAGAGAAGCTGACCTAACTGTGCTGTAATTTTAGGTTATTGTTGTATTCTGTTGGTAAGCAGATTACCTGGAAATGCTGTGACAGTCCATTCCTTGGCGTTTTAGTTGATCCCAGCTGAGCTATTGACGTCATGAGGTGTTTATTCACTGTCCAGTGTTGGGCCCCTCGCTGCCCTTACAATTTGCTCCCATGTCGTCTAGCACACAAGCATCATTTTCCATTTCTCTCTCCTCCTTTAACATCTTTGTCTGACCCTTCCCCCCTCCCCCCACACGCGCAGTTCCTCCCTGGTCTGTCTCGGTCATTTAGTGTAAAAGCCTGCCCCCCTCCTCTTCTTCCATTCCCACATCTCTCCTCATCTCGAGGGCTCGCCCCTGCTCCAAGGGGAGTCGCTGTGCTTTTAATCTGTCCTTCAGTAAATTCTACAGTATATTCTGTTCTCTCGTCATTGTCACTCATGCTGTTGGTAGTGATATCAAGTTCTGGTGTCAGGAATGAGTGAATGGAGCATCTCTTTCTCTTCCCAAACCGTGGAACCTCCGTGAAAACCTTTTGTTGCTGCTGCAGCTGGATGGAGCCATTTGAGAGATTAGATTCACAGTGATGATGGTGTCACGTTAGACAAAGCATTGGCAGAGTTTTTTTAATGTAGACTTTGAAATGAGCCTGTCACTCCGGAGCTGTACATCAGCCTGTCTTTGTCTGTCTGTCTGTTGTTCATTAAACTGAAGCAGCAGCTAAAAATCTGAGACTGGAATAATCATGACTCACAAAGACTGTTCTGAAAAGACACATTCGTTATGTGCTTTTCAAAAACTGCTAAACATTTTTAAAGCAGTTGTTTAAAGTTATTGTCACAATTCTTAAGTTTAGCTCGAGAGGATAAAAGGCTGGTCCCCCTGCTGACTCTCCTAAACTCCCCCAGCCTTCGCTGTCATTCTCCCACATTTCCTTCATAATGTTTCCTTTGAATCTATCATTTTATTTCCTCAAATCTTGTTTTGTTATCTCCCAACCTTCATCTTCCCTGTCTGCAGGCGGCCGTGACACAACAAGCTCCCAGCGCAGGTAGAGCAGCATTCAGCCTCTCTGTGCTTCTGTCTCCACGACTTAACATCAAACTCTGACATACCACAATTCCCTCCCTGCCTTCTTGAATCTCTCCATCTTTCACTGCTTTTCTCCTCCCCTCGTTTACTCCATACTTTCCTCTTCTTGCTCCTGATCCACATCATTTTCTCCTCTTTGCCTCCTTTCTTGCCCTTGCTCTTCACTCAGGGTCTTTCCACTTGGTCACCATGGTGATAACAAGGCACTTAAAATCAATGGTGTTTCATGCGAAGGTTAAACTCTTACTCCGCTTCTCGCCAGTGAAACTTTAATTAAGTGCTGCGCCCGAATACACTCTTCTTCGGGACGTGAACATAAAAGATGGATACTCTACTTTTATTACTATTCTTAACTTGTTTTTTTTTTTTTAAAGTGCATTTTTAAGGTCAACGTATCACACACCACGTTTGATAAGGGATGCTGCAGCTCAAAGACCACCACTGAATCATTTTAAAGAATCTAATCTCACCCCGTTTGCACCAAAGATCTGAAAGTCTTCTATTTCATGACAATATTTGACTCCACTGAACAGATTTAAGTGCTGTCTACCATTTGTTGGTTGAAACCCACTGAGAAATTGATGAAAATGTTAACAAGAAATCACAAATGCTATTGCGGGTCTTGCTGCTGGTATACAGGTTGGAGTGGGGAGGTGAAATGTTTTCTGTTTTGTCTCTGTGTCTAACCCAAGGCCTCCTAAAAGCCCCGTTTTGTGAGTTTCTGAACCTACTGCAAGCTGTGCAAACATAATTTCTTTCATTCCTCTAATTCTAGACATGCCACATACCACAAAGTGTTCTTGTTTCTTCATAATTGGAACGATGAAGAGTATCTCCTTTGTGTTTCAGGGACCATAGCTGCTCATCTAGAATTTATCAAGCTCTGGTCATGCATCAGAGATATTTATTCATGAAAGATTGCTTGCATGTGTTTTGAGTTTATGCGGGATTTGCTTTCTTCTGCATCTCCTACAACAGAACTGCAGCGTGCCCCCGGAGGAGGCCGGCTACGAGGAGGGGTGCAGCTCTACGACACTCCTTATGAAGATGAGCAAGGACAGCGCCTGGGCTTTGGGTATGGAGAACTTCACGAGGAGGGCAAGGAGAGCAGCAGACTGCCACAGGATGACGAGAGACCAGCCGATGAGTATGACCAACCCTGGGAATGGAAGAAAAACCACATCTCCAAGGCATTTGCAGGTAGAGAAATAAAGTCATTACAGTACAGACCGCCTTATCTAAACCTCCTTCATATCTAGTTTTACTAGTTTCACTTCCTCTTGATTCATTTAGTTTCATGCTTCTAAGCTTGAATAATAATAATAATAATAATTAGGGATGCACGATATTATCGGCATGGTATCGTATCGGCCGATATTATCAATAAAGTTACATATCAGACATGGGCCATTCCATCAAAATAACTCAACCGATATAAAAGGCACTGTTTAT